AAAAAAAAAAAAAAAAAAAGTTGAAATTATTAAATGATTGCATTTATGTAGCTGTCATGAAATGAGGCACTGTAGAAGTACAGGACATGTTAGTGGCTGCCAAAAGTGGGGTAGCTGGGTGTGGTGGCACATGCCTGTAATCCCAACATTCGGGAGGCTGAGGCAGGAGGATCACTGAGAGTTCGAGAGCAGCCTGGACTACATAGTGAGTTCCAGAGCAGTCTGAACTATAACTGTCTCAAAAAACCAAAAAAAAAAAATTGGGTAAAGGAGGGTTTCTGAAAGGGCTGTAGAAGGATCCTTGTGACGTTGGAACTGTTTGGTATCTTGACTATGGAGGTGAGTATGTGAAAACCCAAATGAGAGATAACATGTATAGAAAATTCCTATATAATGGGATATTTGAAGATCAGTGGATTTTATCAAAGTCAGCCTCCTGGCCATGATACATGGTAGTTTTCCAGAACGTTTCCATGGAGTGAGACTGGCACTGTGTGCATATCTATTATTTCATACAGTGGCATGTGAGGATACAGTTGTCTCGGTACAATTTTGATTTAAGAAGAGCAGAGGGCTGAACAGCACTGTGACGTGTCCTCGGAGATGTGGTTGGTGCACCTTGCTCAGCAGCCCACGTTGGTTTCCTTTGTCCCCACAGCACGTGTCCCACATTCGCATTGATGGTTCCACCCCATCAGCAGACAGAGAGGCCCTGTGCCAGCAGTTCCAGCTGTCCAAGAGTCGCTCGGTGGCCGTGCTATCCATTACCGCCGCCAACATGGGCCTCACTTTCTCCTCGGCCGACTTGGTGGTGTTTGCTGAGCTGTTTTGGAACCCTGGGGTAAGGGACTCAGTAGACGGACGGGACTTACTCTGGGCAAGCTCATGTTTGGGGGGCAGGAGGGTGAGGGGCAATTGGGAAGGACTTGGTTCTGTGAGCTTTCCCTAAGGCCAGGTTCATTTTCTTCTGTCTTTCCATTCACCTTCATCACTCTGCTTATATTGTCATGTTTGCTTTATTGTCACGATTCCTTTAATCACTGCATGTCTTCACAGCGACTGGTAACATTACTGACTCCATTTTCTCAGTGGAAGAGCAGAGAGTATGGAGAAGGAGTCTTAGGCTTCTTCTGTCCTAGGAAGAAACTGGGAATCGAGGGTCCACGTGATGAGCCAGGACTGAAGCTGTACCCATGGGATGCAGGCAGGAGCACCAGGTTGCAGCCCAGGCCTCGGGCTTTCTAGCCCAGTGCCCTTTTATCAGCTCTGTGAGCTGCCTTAGCCAAGGGGCCCTCGCGCAGAATGACAATGCTGGGTGCTCCTTGAATGTCACTGTGTGCCCCCACCATAGTCAGCTGAAGGCAGCCAATAAAAAATACTTGTTTGAACTCATAAAACTTCTTGTAAACTTCAGAAAAAATTTACATCCCCTCGATATTCTGATACGGTATAGCTGCTACCTGCCACACGTCAGCGACTGTCCTAATAATGGGTAGACCTCAACATTGGAATTGTCCATAATAAAAACAGTGCTCTCAATGTTAGTTGCGTATGATAGGGCTCACCACCACATGAAACACCACACCCCAGCAGTCATGGGTGTGACATTTCTAGCTATTTGGAAGGTAACTTTATTTCCCAGAGACAAGAACAGAAATGTGCCAGGTTTCCATTATTTGCCCCTTGGCACAGAGCCTGATGGCAGACCCTATGCCTTCTCCCAACTCACACCGTCTCACAGTGTTCAGCAGCAGGGGGCCACTCATAGATGTCCTGCTGCAGGTGCTGGATTCCCAAGCAGGGTTGTGCTTGATTCTCTGTGGTTAGGTGATAGGATGCCCACCTGCAGGCCTGAGGCACAGTGAGATGCTTTGGGGAGGAAGGGTTGAGAAGGAACTTGGATGGAAGAAGCCACCTGCTGTGGTGGCCTGGGCTGTCTAGGTCTTCACCTCACCGTCCTGACCCTTGGACATGCAGGTGCTGATCCAAGCTGAAGACCGGGTGCACCGCATCAGTCAGACACGCTCCGTGGGCATTCACTACCTGGTGGCGAGAGGCACCGCTGATGATTACCTTTGGTAGGTGGTAGGCCTGGATTCGGAGCTGAGCAAGGATGGGTACAGAATATGTGTTGTTGCTCCTTCAGTGCTTCACCCTTTTATTGAGATCTTCCGGGATCTACACAGAGACCCATTTAATGCCCCTTGCTTTCATCATGTTTGGCCTCCATCACTAGCATTCTCTGGGGTTTGCAGGCTACAAGAGGCAATCCTTAGGAATAAGGGGAGGTGACGCCTTTCATGGTGTGGGTGCGCCCAGCCACCGCCTACACTCAGGTAAACATACACAAAGCTGGTGAGGTGGAGTGTTGGGTAAGTAAAAATCCTGGTGTGACACTTTCGCACATGAGCATTCTATTCTGCTGTTCATGTGCTAAGTGGGAGAATGCAAAGATGAGCTTTTTCTTTCCCCAGGCACACCTGGGGAAGAGCTGATTAAGAGCTAATTGTGATGAAAAACAGGTGTAGTGTTTGTACAGCACCCTTTTTCCCATCATGAAGGCACTTGCTAGAGTGGGGATGGCCTCCTTTGCCGTTTTATGATACATGGCAGCCACATCTTACAGTGCTACTGACACAGAGAAAGTCACCAACCCTGGACCATCATCGGCACAGCAAAGATCACATTTCTGCCGTAGGGATTTGTGTCTGTTAACTAAGCAAAAATTCCCAAAATGCTCTTTCCCCTTCCCAGGATTAAGTGTCTTGATTATCTTGATTATCATAAGTGTCCAGCCTTATGACTCAGGTCTGACCTTTGCAGTACCCATGGGTCACTTCCACTTACCTCTGTTCACTGGGCAGCCTGTGACATCACCAGGTTCAAAACTTTATTGTAAGGAGACAGCATTGATTTCCTACACATCTTCCGTTAGAATTTTGAACCTGCCTTTATAAAGTTATGAGTGGCCAAATACTTCAGGATGGATGTTTGTGCCTTGAGAGATGAAAGGATATGACACTCAACCTGTCGCACACAGTTCCATAGGCACGGGGAAGGTGGCCTCATTTTCATCAGTCTGCTGTTTCTGCGCCAGTGGTATTCAAGCAGCTCATTTCTCTCCCACAGGCCTCTGATTCAAGAGAAGATTAAAATTCTAGGGGAAGCTGGACTTTCTGAGACCAATTTCTCAGAAATGACAGAAGCCACTGATTACCTCCTCAAGGTAACACAGCACATGGCTGCTCGTCACGGGGGTAGAGAGGGGCATCAAGTTGTCCGCTGAGCCCTTGGCTCCTGAGTGGGAAGGTATGAGTCACTCCTGGGAACCTCCCCCGGCCCCAGAGCGGAAGCATGGACTTTTGAACATTCTTATTCAACCCATGTATGCATCTCTTATGAGGAGCCGTCATCTTAACTCCTCCTGCTGCTCACATGCCCCTTAGTCTCAAAATCCGGCCTTCCCCATGTGCCTCTTCCATCAGGCCCTCTGAAACCGAGGGGAAACTCCCTGTGGTGACTGGTGGGTACAGAATGGGGAATATTAAAAATGGGGTGGTACTAAGCCTGCTGTGGTAATGCATGCCTATAATCCTGGCTCCTTAGAGTCTGAGGCAGGAGGATCCCACATTCGGGCCAGCCTGAACAACTTAGACCTTGTCTCAAAATAAAAAGGGCTGGGGGTGTAGCTCAGGGCCTCTGGGTTCCATCTCCATTCCTGCAAGAAAGAAAAGGAGGAAATAGAACTTGCACAAGGTCACGGAGCTCATGAAAGTAGCCCAAGATGGACGTCTTCTCTGTCGGCCCAACATCAGCCCCTCATTATCAAGTAGCGTGAGAGTCCGGTGAACATCCACCCGTGTACAGGTGTGCTTTGTCAGAGGTGCTGAGGGGGCTGTTGCTCAGCATCTGGAGAGGACAGCCCTGGGTCCGCCATGCCTGCCCTAGCTGCACACACTGGCCCACTCGCTGTCATGGCCTCTTGCTCCTCCATTTCAACAAGAGGCCATCGAGCAAGGGGTTCTGAGACTTCCAAAGCTATGTGTGTCTGCTTTCTCCAGCTCAGTGGTGGAGAGGGAAGGTGAAAGCTCGGGAGGAACTGCCTCCTGGAGGGTGACTTGTGGGACAGTTGTTTCTAACCAGAGAGTATGGGTAAGTCCGAGGAAGGTGGCCTTAGTGTGGCTCAGAGTGCCAGGGTGCCTTTTTATTCCTGTGGAATTGCTGAGCCTCGGAGATTTACTTATATCAGCAATATCCTGTAGGTGACTCTTAAGACTGATGAATCTGAGGATTCCGTCATTCATTTACATTTACTTAGCAACTAAATCTTTTTTCCTAATGTAATTATTGGGATAATAAGAGTCGGAGATCAGGTTTTTTTTTCTATTTTTTAAAAAAATTTGTATTCAGAACTGGGGATTCAGCCCAGTGGTGCCACTGCCTGCCTCACAAGCTCAAGGGCCCAAGTTCGACCTTTTAGATAAAAAAGTAAGCTTTAAAACAACCTTTTATGTAGATGGGGGCTCTGGGCTGGAACCCAGGGCTTTAGCAGTGAGCTACATCCTCAAGCCCTTTTTCTTTTTTAAATTTGAGACGGGATCTCACTAAGTCACTAAGTTGCCCAGGCTGGGTTCACACTTGCTGTCCTCCTGCCTCAGCCTCCCAGAGTGCTAGGACAACAGGTACATACACTATGGAGAATTTAAAACAATCTTATTTTTAAGCTTTTGAAAGAACTCTAATTCTGTTGAATGGTGAATATTCTAACAGAACCTAGGTTCTTATGTGCCCTTTGAGAAGAAAGAGCCTTATTTCTAAAGAATCCTCATTTGAACTCATTTTCTTTATCCTAGCTTTACCCTCGGTACTCTGAATTATGAATTTCTGTCTAAAGAACATGATAATGTAAATGAAGCTTATCAATATTTATTGTGACTAATAACTATTTATTCTTACTAAGATAGGGCTGAAAATTTCATTAGCAACTAGAAAATGAAAATGTTGCCCTCTTCACAGGAGACAAAAGCAAAAAAGGTTATGTCTCACTAAACCTTCCTTCTGAGAGGGGAAATGAAATACTAATCTGATCTTGGAACTTGCTTCGGCTAATTATTCCTGCTCCAAGTTTGCTTATGGTCTGGCCACCATCATAATTGAATGCACCTTAACAGGTTTTTTTCCATGGAATGGCTGCTTTGTGAGGCGGCATTTTTACTGCACCTGTTCAGAAAGGGGCTGAGGAGTATGTTCTTCAGAAGGACATGAAGATCGTATTTTGATTGACCTTTGTGGTCTGTAATATCACTGGCAAAAGGCTGAGATCGTGAAAGGCCAGGAGATGTTGGGTGGAGATTAATGGACTAATCTGAAGGTCTTGCATGATGTGCTGCCAATCAGTTTTCAAGGAACTTCACTTCATCAGCTTGGGGAATTCTGTTAAGAAACAGGGAAGGATGGTGCCATTTAAATTGAGACCTAATTACAGAAGCCCTGCAAAGCCAGGGAAGCGATTTTAGAAGTACACACAGTGGAGTCCATTGACAGGACAGGGAAAATTGTGTTAAAGGATGGCCTGGGAGAAAATCAAGCAGAGTAAGACCTAGGGGCCGATGGCAATGAGAGAAGTCTGAGGTAGAAGAACGGCTGAACCATTGGAGTACCCTGCAGGTACCAAGTGATGTGGCCCAAGACAGGAGTGACTTAAGGGCTCTGCATGTAGCTAAGTGGTTAGGCACTTGTCTAACAGGTGTGCCACTTGATGGGAGGGAACAACGGGGGAAACACACTGGTGTTACCAGCCTGGGATTCAGGATGCATTGTGGCTTCGGGCAAGGAGATTGAGACAGCTGGGAGACTTCTAAAACTAGGCTTAGTTGGAAGAGAACTGGTTTGGGGAGATGGACAAAGAGATCATTTTGATTTCAGATGGCTTAGTTTTATGGAGCAATGGGATGTCAGTGGAGATGTTGCAGATATACCTCAAATAAAAGTGGTCAGGGTTGGGAATTTTTTATTAGTACATGTTTGTGATATACATAGTGATTACATTCAATTTGGGGGATTGAGAGATATACACATTGCATCCTGATTATTTTTACACTCCCCTTTGCCCCTTTCCCATCCTCCCCTTTCCCTCCTACTAAAGATCCCTTTCCTATCTCTATAGAGTCTATCTCCCTGTTTCTTAACATGTCTTATTTTTCTCTTTTAAATTATGTCTCTCATATTAAGAAAACATGTGATATTTAACTTGTGACTTACTTCACTTAGTATCATGGTCTCAAGTCCATCCACTTTCTTACAAATCACTCAGATGTATCTTTCTTTATGGCTGAGTAGTACTCCACTGTGTAGATATACTATATTTTCTTTATCCATTCATCTGCTGATTGACATGTAGGCTGCTTCCATGGTTTAGCTATAGTGATTTGTGCTGTTATAAACGTGGGTCTGTGTATATTACTATAATATGATGACTTTAGCTTTTGGGGGAATGTTGGAAATTTAGACTTAGGAGAGATCAGCAGAAGTGATAATGAGCCTGTCAGTTGTCATGTTTGTCATGACTGTGCCTTGTTTTAACACTGTACCATTGTCAACAATGGATAGATGCAGTCAGTGAGGCATTTTGGTAATTTGTAACTCTGAGGTCATTAGAAACAGGAGGAGATACCTACTCTGAAAATGAGCTGCGGTTCATGGCTTGACACAGAGTTGGAAGTCAAATTACAGCTCAACTAATGGTTCTTCCTTATCTTTTCTTTTCTTTCCCTGATGAAGGATCCAAAGCAGCAGATGATCTATGACCTATTCCAGAAGTCCTTCGAGGAAGATGGAACTGACATGGAGCTCCTAGAGGCAGCAGAGTCCTTTGACCCAGGAAGTGCTTCAGAAACGTCCGGAAGTAGTTCCTGTAACTTGGGAGACACATTGGATGAAAGTAGCTTGTCAGCCAGTCCACCAACAAAAAGAAGATTTGAATTTTTTGATAACTGGGACAGCTTTACATCTCCCTTCTAAGAAGGGGCAAAATTTTTTTTTAAATCACAGAATTTATTAAAATAAAGTAAGATATTTTGTTTGTAAAGCCTGTGGTCCTCTTATGATGCAGCAGGGAATTACATTTCCATTCCCTTGTCTCTAGGTAGGAGTTTGCTCTGGGTCTGGACTAACCTTACCTTTTCTGGCTCAGAGAGGGGATAGTGGCTTGTAATAATTCATGTCCTTTAAAGAATTAGGTGATTCTTACACTACCCCAACATCTAGATATAAAAAAATTCAGTGACTATAAATATTTAGAGTGCCTAGTATATGCCAGGTACTGTACTAGGTGCTGGCAGTAACTTGCTGAACAACAGTGATAAGTAACTGTGCCTTTGCAGAGCTTATACAATAGGAAAAGCAAAGTTCCAATAAAATTCTATTTATGGACAATAAAATTTGAATTTCTTTAATTTTCATGTGTCACAAGTTATTCTTTTTTTTTTGGCTTGGTTTTTTTGTTTGGTGGCACTGGGGATCGAACTCAGAACCTTGCGCTTGTCAGGCAGGCGGCGCCAGCACCACTGAGCTAAATCCCCAGCCCTTCTTTTGATTTTCACAAATGTGAAATGTGAAAACTTCTTAGCTCACTGGCTGTGTAGAAACAAGCAGTGGGCTGGACACTGCACAGAGTGCACAGTTTGCCAGCTGCTGGTCTCGAGTAGTGTGATCTCACTGCAGAGTAATGCAGGTCACATGTGTGACTGTAACTTTCCTAAAAATGTTTTTTAAAGGAAAAATAAAAGAAAGTTGATGATATATCTAACCCAATATATTCAATATAATTTCAGCATGTAAACTGTGTGTGTGTGTGTGTGTGTGTACACGCGTGTGCACTGCTGCTGCCCAGAGCACCACACATGCTAGGCAGGTGCTTTCATTGACTTACATCCCCAGTCCTTAAAAAAACTTTTTTTTTAGATGAAACATTTACATTTTTTATCAAGTCTTTGATATCCTGTATACATATGACAGCATCTTTATTTGGACTGCCCATGTTTCAGGTTTGTAGTAGCCACCTGTGGCCAGTGGCTCCTTGTTGGACACCTCAGCATTAGAGTGATAAAGGGAGTCCAATGTCACAAGAGGAAGGATAATATGTAGTAACATTGAAGAAATTAATGCCCGATAAAACAGGACCGGTCATAGTAAGGAGTATGGGTTTAGCTTTGAGTAGGAAAAGAAATCACTGGATGATTTTGAGCAGAGATCTGAGGCAATCTGATTATATATTTGTGTGTGTGTGTGTGTGGTACTGGGGATTGGACTCAAGACCTTGTGCTTGAGAGGCAGGCACTGGAATCAGATTATATATTTCAAAAATATTTTACACCAGTTTGTGTAAAATACAGACCAGGAAGAATAAGCAGAGGGAACAGTTAGGTGGGAAGCTATAGAGTTCTTGCAGCCTCTGTGGGTTGATCCTGGGGTGTGGTTGACTGTAGGTAGTATGAAGGAGGTAAGAAATAATCAGATTTGGAGATACAGATACAGACTTTTTTTATTTTTTTAAGACAGGGTCTCCCTATGCAGTTCAGGCTGACCTTGAATGATATAGTCCAAGCTAGCCTTGAACTTGCTATGATCCTCCAGCTTCAGCCTCCTGAGTGCTGGGATTATAGGCCTGCTACTACCACTCCCCGCAGATTTGGGATATATGCTGAAGGGAGATTAGATTTGCAGATGGATTGACCACAGGGCATTTGAGAAAGAGAGGCTGCACAATAAAGGTTTTTGCTGGAGCAGGGTTGTACGGAAAAGTGTAGATTGGGAGCAGAGTGAAATCGGGTTGGTAATGGACTTCAGCTGGTACAAAAAAAAAAAAAAATCCAGTGGCAGACTGAGACACTCCACCAGCTCAGTAAGGGAGATGATATGTCACTTCATTAGGGAAAAAAAAAATCATTGGAATGATTTAAAGCCCAGGAGGTTTGGGAATCACAGATCTTGAGAGAATTTCGGAGGGCCAGACATTTCTTCCCTGCCTGGCCCTCTGTTGTCCACAGCCTCTGCTCTATGCAGTTTCATCTCAGCTTGAGAAGTCTTAGCAAGTCTTCACCTGTGACCCACAGACAGCTCCAGACACCTACCTACCCGCTGCTCATCAGAGCTTTGCTGCCGCTTTGTGTGCTGCTCTGGATGTGGGTCTGGTTCTTTAAGTCTCTTGGGATCTCATCTCTTCTATTACTGATTTCTCCGTACTCAGGGGATGTGTTCAGAACTGCAGATCTTTTTTTTTCTTTCTTTTGGCGGGGTACTGAGGACTGAATTCAGGACCTTGTGCTTGTGAATCAGGCATGGCGCCACTGAGCTAAATCCCCAGCCCTAGAACTGTAGATCATCAGTGGTGCTGAGGGTGAGTCGCTGATGCCTGCTGCACAGAGCAGCCCTTGGGATCCTGCAAAGTGTCATCAGACCAGTGGTTGCCAATGGCTGGGCTTGTACTTGGTGTTCATAACCTGAAACTACTGTTGCATGTGGCCCGGATGAGTATGGCTTCTGGAACTTCTACCTAGGACCTCAGTTACAGCAGCTGGGGAAAAACTCTCTTTGAGATGTTCTGAGGGCCTCCAAACAAGTTTTCATTTCATGTAGCCTGTATTTTCAGTTAGATCACCTCAGGGCTGGGGATTTAGCTCAGTGGTTCCACCACCTGCTTTACAAGCATAAGGTCCTGAGTTCCAACCCTGGTACCAAAAAAAAAAAAAAAAAAAATAGTCACCCCAAATATACCTCTGAAACGTGTTAAGGGCCATCCAGCCATGTGAATGGGATTCAGTAAAAACTTCTTGGGCGTATTCAGCTAGAGAGTGAGTATCTTCAGATTTAAAAAAGGATTTCCACAGTCTCCTTTTCCTCATCTCAACTTAGTCCAGACTAATACAACAGTTTTTTTGTGGAAGTGCCAATTACAATGAAGGAAACGTGGGCCCTCTCATCGCATTCCAGTTCCTGCCATTAGTTGTACCTTTAAAGGGTGTCAGGTGTGGTGGCACACGCCTGTAGTCCCAGCACTCGGGAGGCTGAGGCAGGAGGATCACTGTGAGTTCGAGACCAGCCTGGGCTACATAGTGAGTTTCAGGTCAGTCTCAACCACATAGTGAGACCCTGTCTCAAAAAACCAAAAAAAAAAGAAAAGAAAAAAGAAAAAACAACAACAAAAAACCCAAAACAAAAACAAAATAAAACAACAACAACAAAAAACAAATAAAGGATGTCACTAAAAGTCTCCTTTGTTCTCTCCCTCTCCTCACCAGGGTGACCAAGTGGTATCTTACTTTCCCAGTGGCTCTGGTGATTTCTGTCTCAAATGCTGTACCAGGACACCTCCAAGAGGCAGCAAGGGCTCTTGTTTGTATTAATCCACTTGCGCTACAATTCATCATGGTTTTTGTTTGTTTGCTTTCCTTTTTGGCTTCCACTAAGCTTTCTCAACTGAAGGAGAAATACAGAAAGGTACCATCTTGGGTTTTGCCCCGTCTGTGCACACTTTGTTGAAACCATGCTGCTTTTTGAGGCTCTCTGCCCTTTTTTGTGAAGGGAGAGAAAGAAGTTTGATCTTATCTTTTCACTTCACATCAAGTTCAGAACAATCAACATGAGAAGTGGCTTGGGAGGGGTTTAGCTGCACAATCTTGACTCGTTAAGAGATTGCCTATATATTTATTTATTTATTTATTTATTTATTTTTTTTTTTATTTTTTTGCCTATATATTTTTTTTTAGTTTTGTGGTTTTCTGTGGGATCTCAGTGAAGGAAATGGAATATGAATCATATCAGAAAGGATTGAGAAGCCTGTGAGTCAGTCTTTGGGACATTATGGCAGCCAGTATTTGCCTGATTTTGAAACATTCTCTGCCCATGTTTTTCCCCCTTTACATCCATTCAACAGATTTTTCTGAGTACCTCTGTCTGTCTGTCTGTCTGTCTGTCTGTCTCTCATTAATCCCTTTACGGGGATGAAATATACAAGAATTCATAAAACAATTTACAACTTAACATAATATTATAAATAAATGCCCATCTAACCATAACTCAAATAGTATACAAATAATAAAACCTTTGTTTTGCCTTTAATGCTTAGATCTTCAATAACCCAACTGGAGCTTATTTTCATACTTGGGATGAGTTAAGATCAGGGTTAACTTTTCTCATATGGAGATATAATTCTTTCAGCAACACACTAAAAAGATTGTTCTTTCACCAGCTGCTTTGCATCACCTTGTTTTCAATATACATTAAGGTAAAAATTAATCTAAAAGTGTACAATCTTAAGTAAAAAGAAGGAGCAATCCTATAATCTCTAACACCTAGCAATCCTTCTTAAAGGCTCTATAAATAATTTTGGATGGAGTAATTTATAATTTGTATCATCACTTCTCAGCCTTTTGTCTAAGGTCAAGCGCAATTTGTATCACATTCACCATACTGAAATGGCTTGTTTCATGTACTATATTTGGCCATTGTTTTATAAATGAATCTATCCCTAAAAATCTATCCTTTACCTAAAAAAAAAAAAGAAAAAAAAAGTTACCTGATCCAGAAAATACCCATCAACAACAGCAACTAGAATGGTTTGAAAGTGCAGTTGAGGAGAGAAAGAAGGTAGGGAAGAATATGTTTGCCTGACACCCTGATTCTTTCTTTGTGTTCAAGACGTATGCTGGAGGCCTTGCCTTCTCTTGTTGAGTCAGCTCTGTCCTGTGGCCTCTGAGCACTGCCGAGCAGACCTTGCTCCATCTGCAGCCACTGGCTCTTCTGTGCAGTGCTGGTGCTGGAGACTCTGGGATAAAGTTTTTGTGTGTCCAGCGCAAGATGAATTGGGAATGATGCTTGTACTGCCAATTTCTTTCAAGAATAAGACGTTCAATATTCTCCAAGAGAACTGATCGGTTTAACAGCTAAATGAACTCCTCTCTGAAGGCGACTTTTAACTTAATTTTTTAAAAGTGAAAAATGAACTTTGCTTCTGAAGAACAGGGGTGACGCAGTAGAGATTTTTATAGAGACTTTTATGAAGATTCATTACAGACACCATTCTCTACACTTGATGGTCCTGTAATGGGGACAGAGACTTACTGGTCTATCAACAAGGCAAATTCAGACTTTATGAGAGGCATACTTTTCTGAGGTCTCTTAGAGCTGATTTCATGAGAATGCTGTTGGTGCCTCTTCTTGTTCAGCTTTGACAAAATTGCTGTGAAAACAAACAGTTTATTCCTATTTCAGTGTCTCATTTTCAGCTGCTCTGTGGCATTCTTCCTCATGTACTTCTTCTCCTTTTACCCCTCTCTTTGTCCCTTCCTCTTCTCTCTCTCTCTCTCTCCTCTCTCACCTCTCTCCCTTTCTCCCCTCACCTCTCTCCAGTAAACTC